GTTGGTGGCCGGGTAGAAGCCCGACATCATTCGGTGGCCGGGTGGAAGTTCGGCTTTAGTTGGTGGCCGGGCAGAAATCTAGCTTCAGTCCGTGGCCAGGCAGAATTCTAACGTCAATTAGTGTCCGGACAGAATTACGACATTAGTTAGAGGCCAGGTGGAAGTCTGACATCCTTCGGTGGCTGGGTGAAATTCAAATGAAAGATCGTCGACGGGCTGAAGTTTGGGCTTGGGCAGAAGTCCAACGAAAGTCCGGCGACTGATAGAAGTCTGGCGACATGTAAAAAACTGGCGATGGGCAGAAGTTCGACATCATTTGGTGGTCGAGTCGAACATGTCCGGTGAAAGTTCGACGACGGTCGATGGTCGAGGTGGAGTCCGGTGGAAAGAGAATTTTTTTCTTTCACTTCCTTTTTTCCTTCTTTTCTTTCTTCTGTCTGGTGTCAGTTGGTGGTCGAGCAGAAATCCAGCGTCAGTCAATGGACGAGCAGAAGTCCAGCGACAGTTTGTGGCCGGGTTGAAGTCTAGCGGTGGTCGAGGACGAGTCTGGTGGCAAGAGAACTCTCTTCCTCCCCTTCTTTCTTAGGTCCTCTTTTCGTGAGAAATGAGGGGTCTATTTATAATTTTTTGAGAGTAGCATGACCACTTAAAAGGAGGAAGATCAAGTGTAAATTGAGAGTGGCTTGAATGGATGACCGATGTTGATTCCCTTGATATAGATTGTTTACTGGACATTAGAATGTCTTAATGATATCATAATTTGACAATCTTAGGCCTCTTTGGATTTGTTTCGTCAAGCCCGGCCCCTCGATTTGATTATAAGCATGTCACGTTTGGAAACTTATTGGTAATCCAAATTATGGATTGAAGCTTCCAAATGCGTTTCGGGTCTTTGATTTGGACCTATTTGAGCTCGGATTGGGTCAAATTTGATCTCATTGGGTTTGTATTTCCGAGACCTTCAGTTCGACTATAAGTTTGCTAAAATCAATGTTCAAATGGTCCCGAATTTAATTTTTGATGTTTTCAACTTGATTTTGTTCGGATGATCAAGATAATTTTTTGATGATATATCACTCTTAATTTTTACATACATACCACTTTATACTATTCTATTTACATATTTAACACTTAAAACTTTAATATTACAAATATGCCACCCATAGTTCACTTTTATATGAAATATGAGTGGTAGAAATGAAATATATGAGTGGTAGGAAGGAAATATGGGTGGTATATTTGATATTAAAATAATATAGGGTGGTATTTATGTAATATTAAAGTTTTAGGTGTTAGATATGTAAATAGAATGTTATAAAGTGGTATGTATGTAAATTTCCCTTTATTTTATTGCCCTTCTTTTAATTTTTGTTGAACCACGCATTGATAAAATATATAAATTTAATCTCTTTTTTCCTTCTAAAAAATATCATGCCGCATGCCGCTATGATGTTCTATGAACCAGACCTCCCTTTTCTTTTATTATCCCACCATCTTCTTTCCTTCTTGGCAAGTCCCAAAGTCGGAGAGATTATTACATGTGGCCATCAAACCGTTCAGAGATTAATCATGATGCGCCACGTCACCCGACACATAACGATACACAGTAACGATACACGACGTATTGGTGGCGTGGTGCGTCCTGATTGACCTTCGGACGATTCCATAACAACACATAATAATTCCGCCCAAAGTCACAACATGGCCATTCCTATGCTTATGCTTTCTCACCAGCTTCTTTTCATTAATCTACTTCGATTCATCTGGAGTAAATTGTTCTGGCTTTTATTAGCTATATATCTTTCTTATGATCTTTAAGAGATCACTTCATATTTGTTTGTAATTTTTTTTATGCTTGGTTTAGTGTAATAGTTTATCCTACTTATAATTTCATCTATTGATCAAAAAAAAAAAAAAAAAAAAAACAATAGTATTTTGTTGCATGTGTAAAATGAAATCAGAGAGTGCAACACACTTATTTTTTTAGTGTGATTTTTCCATCTCTATCATCTCAACTTTAATTCTCAGCCTATCGAACTCTCTCCTGCGCCCGAATCTAATTCAAATTGTGGATTTCATTACTGATAGGGTCAAGCATAGTTCAGCCAAGCTGAGTTTTTTACTTTTATGGTGTTCAATTTATTATATATGGAGGGAAAGAAATGAGAGGAAATTTTTCACCCTATCAAAAGCAATTTTACCATCCATGAGATTATTAGAAAATCAGTCTATTTCAAGGTGTAAAGATGGAAAAATGGAGATGAATTTAAAGGCTTAATTTTACATGCGGGCTAGTTGGTTTTTGTGTTGTCTGGCGATTTGCCTTTTCTGGCTCTGTTTCGAAGCTTTTCTTTGGGGAAATTCTGCTATTGCTTCTCATTTGGGCCTGTGTTATGGATTTCTGTTGTCTTATCCTGTGGGGTTCTGTTATAGTATCCCATTGCTTTTCTCATTTTGTTGCACTCGGTTTTGACTTATGGCAATGAGTTTGGTATTTTGGGCAAGTATGATTAAAGTGCATCTTCATCCCTGGATGGTGGTTCTTTGCAACATGGTCTCTATATGATTGTAATCCCCATAGCATGGGATATTTGTGGCTTAATGGATGCAATTTCTAAATACTGAGCTTTTTTGTCCCTACTTGACTTATTGGGCGGCCGCACCCTATTTTGATCTCTCAACTCTTTTTTTATTTCTAGCTCATTTTATCTAGTGTATTTTTTACACTCTTTTGTTAAGCTTTTGATTTATGTATTTACCTTTTAGTTCAATTTTTCTTAGTTTAGTCTTTGATTGTTTATCACAATCTCTTACATGTAACTACTTTCTTATAATGAAATTTGGGGTTTGCCCCTTATTTTCAAAAAATAAAAAATAAAAATTTGATGTGGAATATTGTAGTTATATTAGAATATAGGTTTATTTTACCTTTTTGCTCTCTAGAATATTCTATTGCCATTATATATACAAACAATGGTTTAAGAAGGGAGATAGAAAATATACATTCTCTTTTGAGTTATTTGGGTTATTCCATGCTTTTTTTTTTTCTTCTAGCAGCTCATTTCTTTTGTCGATTCACTACATAAAAAATGCGGTTGAATTATTTTTGATAGATGCTTCTTTACTAAATATTTTATTTCATTAGCGACCCAAGCTATTCTAGTTCTATTGACACTCGACATAAATGTGTTCCATCTTCTTTTTTATCACTTCAAAACTTTGGCCATCTTTAAAAGAAGCATATAACAATAGCTCATTTTTATCACTAGCTTTAGACTTCATTTGAGACCATTTTTATATTGCATTTTTTTAAAATGCATTTCTAATATTAAAATTTTAAATTCAAAAAAAAAATTGTACTAAAAATTATCATAAAAAGTCAGAAGAAAATTATCCCAAATAAAATCTTAATCTGAACTCCAAAATTATTTATAATGACCTGGGATAAAAGAGTTTGCTTGAAACTCATTGAATCATTAAAATGGGCGCGGCGCCACCTCATAAAATTTTAGAAATTTTATCATCTTCGTATTGACAAACTAAAAAGGCCAAATTTTCAGAACAAGCCTTTCGCCAGTGACATTTAGAGGAACGAGCATGAATTTTAAAAAATTTATAAAGCATCAAATACGCCACATGATGTAGCGCATTCAAAGAATGCGTCAATCTTTTCAGCGCATTCTTTGAATGCGCCTATTACCATAACGCATTCTTTAGCATTGCGTGGATTGCGCTAATCGTTCCAGCGCATTGTGCTATGGTTGCTTAAAACTCACAAGATTTCGTATTCAGCCTCGTATTCAGCTCCACGTCTAAATGATTAGACTACGTTTTCAGTGAACATATAATTGGCCTGGCAATTAAAGGTTGAGTGTGTAATCAAATTCTCATTTCTTGTATAATCGAGTTGGCCTTTTTAATTTTAATGAAATGATGATGAGAATTAAATGGATAATAATAAAGATTATAAGAAAATTAACTTCTAAAAATTTTAGAAAAAAATAGTGATTTCATTTAATATTTTGTTGAAATTTTAGAAGAAATATATATTTCATTTAATATAAAAAATATAGCTGTAATAAAAATTATATATTTTTGGTTAATTTAATTAATAGTGATGAGTAAATAAAGGAAAAACTAATGCATCAAAAAATAACGTTTTAAAATTTTGAGTATTTTTAATGAAACTTTGGCCTATTAAATTAAATTTGTTATGGTAGGTGATATTAATATTGATTAAAAAATATTGATAAGGTGAATATTATAAGTTGATTGAAATATTGATTGAAAGTAAAGTTGAGTTGAATCATAATATAATATATAAAGTTAAATTAAGTATATGTGAATAATTTGTTTCGGTAGTTAAAGATATAATTAAAAGGACAAATTGTTTAAGGATATAAATAAGAATTAATTTCAAATAAAGTATTGTTACATTATTTATTAAAAAAATTAAAAAAAGTTATTACATAATTAACGAACATAGTATTCGAATTGATGAAGAAATTTAAATTAATTTAAAATATGAAATTTTAATTAAAATGCATTATTAAAGATTTGTTAATTGTGAGAATTAGGTATTGAGAGATGAGAATAAGAAAGAAAAAATTATTTTTAAGAAAAATTTTAAAAAAATATTTATACTTTAGAATGGCTAAAGTGCTATGAACCCGTATCCATGCAATACTGAAGAATGTGTGATGTTAATAGGGTCGAAGAGATTGACGCATTCTTAGAATGTGCCACATCATATGGCGTATTTGATGCTTTATAATTTTTTTAAAATTCATGCTCATTCCTCTAAATGTCACTGGTGAAAAGCTTGTTCTGAAAATTTGGCCAACTAAAAACCTATCATTCCAACTAGTTGAGCACCCCACCATGTCGATCTTTGTTTTCTAAGCATCTGATTATTCATAAAGAAATGTACGAGGGCGGTCAAGAGACGAGGAATATCTGCTCTGGGATTGGGAGGCTCCGCTCTCCGGCTACAAAGCCGACGTTCGGATTTGCACATTGAAGAGAAAGTTGCGGCGGGAGAGAAAAAATTACAGTGAGATAGAAAGAGATGAGATTCACATTGGAGCAGGCTCGAAGATCCGGAGAAAGAATTTAATGGGGATGGCAAAATTTGAACGGATCCTCATCCAGTTAACTGCAGGCTACCACATTTCTCCTCCCTCGACGCGACACTCAACAATAATGTCAACACTTCCCTCATCTCTGGCCGCCGTAGGGGCGCCTCCGCCGCGCAACTTATCCCCACCCTCACCAACGCCCTCATCACCTCTCTACCTTCCTCTCCCCATCCCTCCATCCCCGCCATCACCCCTTCCACCCCCACTCGTCTCCACCATTCCACTAGCCCCTCCTCCTCTCCCTCCTCCACCGCCCGCCTCGCCGTTCCCAATTCCATGAGCAGCACGCCGAAGCTATACACATCTCCTTTCGTCGTCGCCTTCCATGTCTGCCCGTACTCCGGCGCCACATAACCCACCGTACCCGCCACCACTGTGCTCACATGACTCGTCCCATCCACCACGACTCTCGCCAACCCAAAGTCCGTTAATTTAACTCCTCCTTTCCCATCCATCAACACATTGCTAGCTTTAACATCGCGATGCAGCACCGCCGGCGAGCAGTCGTGGTGGAGGTACACCAATGCTTGTGCCACCGCCACTGCTGCCGCCATTCTCTGCTCCCATTGGAATCCGTTTTGGTCTTTGATGACATCTTCCAAGCTTCCACCTTCCATGTATTCGTAGATAAGGAGCTTTTTGAAGCCGGCGAGGCACCATCCGTGGAGTGCAACGAGATTGGGGTGACCACCAGCTAGCGTCTCCATCTCTGCACGGAATTGTCGCTCCCCTTCATAACCTCCTCTCTGTAATTTCTTGATTGCCACTCGCCGGCCGTCCGGGAGATCACCGGAATATACCTCGCCGCAACCTCCACGGCCGATCAACTTGTCGGAGGAGAAGTTTTGGGTCGCCGCCACGATGTCAGGGTAAGTGAAGGCTGTTTTGTTCATTCCGTACACGCGCACGCTGACGATAGGGACGCTGGAAGGCTGCGAGGAAGAAGACCCCGAAGGAGAAGGAAATATCGAATTTTGATCTAAAATTAGATTCTCTGATTGGGAAAATGTGGGATCTTGGTTGGAATGTAAGAGAGGATCGATTGCTGATCGACTTCGGCTTGTGAGGCAGAGGAAAAGGAAAGCGATGCCGAACAGTAAGCTAAACAAGGTTAAGGCGACGAAGACCCATAAGGAGATCATGTTACCTGAGGACTGGCGGCCATAGACGGTGGTGGAGGGTGGAGGCATGGCGTTCTGAGGGTAGAAGGAGATGAGAGGATCTCCGAAGAAGGAGCTGTTGCCAAAAGTTGTGATATGGCTGCTCATGGGAATGACGCCGTAGAGCAAGGGGTTGAAGGAGACGTTGAACTTGTTGAGGAAGGAGAGATCGTTGAGACTGTACGGAAACTCGCCGGAAAAATTGTTTAGGGAAAGGTCTAAGCTTTGAAGGCACTGGATTTGGCCAATCGCTGGGGGAATTTGGCCGGAGAACTGGTTGTTGGAGACGTCAAGCTCGATGAGTGGAAGCGAGCCGATTTTCGAAGGTAACAAACCAGAGAGGTCGTTGCCCTCTATTTCCAGCAGGCTGAGCCTTTTCATTGAACCAATCTCGGGTGGTAGTTCCCCATAGAGAAGGTTGCTGGAAAGCCTGAGGTAGCCGGAGCTGTCTAACGTTTGAAATGGCTTTGAGGAATTTAAACAAACAGGGAAGAGGCCAATGCCCTTGAGGAGTTGATCCCAGGTCTTGCTGCACCTCTTCCGTGTCATCCCGTTGTAGATGAAGCTAAACGGTTGGAAGCTCGCCGGAAACCACCGTTTGAGCGTTAGACACTCGCTGGACCCGGCAGCGAGGTCGCCAAATCGTTTATTTTTTGCGAACGTCGGCAACGGAGACCGCCCAGTTGTCGATATCTCCGGCGGGATTCGACCGGAGAGGCTGTTGTTGGCTAGGTTTAACCATATGAGGCTGCTGCATTGACCGATCTCCATCGGGATTTCTCCGGTGATTTCGTTGTTCGCGAGCATGAGCCATAGTAACGAGGTCAAGTTCCCGACTTGCGGAGGAATTTCGCCGCTAAGCCTATTGAAGGAGAGATCCAGCACCTGCAGCGTTGAGATCCCTCCGTACTCTGGAGGGATTCCACCATAAAAATCATTGTGAGAGAGGATCAATAGCATAATCACCGGCATATCGGCGGCGGCAGCAGGGAGCTTACGGGAAAAATTGTTGAAGCTGAGATCAAGCCGGAGTAGATTTGGGAGATTTAGCACTCCGGATTCTTCGATTCCCGCGGTATACGAATTCGAATGCAGTATTAAGAAGTTGAGGGAAGTGAGTTCCCCGAATATTTCCTGGATTTCTCCGCCGAATTGATTCCGGCTGAGATCAAGAAATTTCAGTTTCTTGCAGTTAAGAAGCTTTACTGGCAAATCCCTCTCGAAGCTATTGTTTCCGAGGAAGAGAGATTCGAGCTCTGTAAGCAACCCGACACCGGAAGGAATCGAACCGGTGAAGAAATTCCCCCAAATATTCAAAGATGTGAGATTTGAGCAGTTAGCAATCGAATCTGGGAAATTCCCGCTCAGCGTGTTGCCAGACAGGTCCAGAGCTTCCAGGTTGCACCTCGCCGGGAATGTCTCCGGCGAGATTACTCCTCTGAAATGGTTATCGGACGCCGAGAATTCCCTAAGAAACCAAAATCCCCTCCACAACTCCCCTGTGAACCCATTTAAGCTTAAATCCAGATACCGCAATCCCGCCCTGCATCCGTCAAAATAGTCTCCTATCTCGCCGGTAAAATTGTTCGACGAGATGTCGATAAAAACCAAACTGCCGCATTTCTCCGGGAAGGTATCCAAGAAGCGACCTTTTAATCTGTTAAAGGAGGCGTCGAGGGTATTAAGAAGGGGGAAGCCCGAAAGGATGAGTTCACCGTCGATGAAATTGTGGGATAGATTCAGATACCGGAGGCCCCGGCATTGGGTGAGTTCCGTCGGGATTTGGCCGAAGTAACTGTTGCTTGATAAGTCGAGGTGAGTGAGCTCTGGAAGAAGATAGAAGTGGGGGAAGATGGAGCCGTTAATATTGGAGTTGTTGAGGTTGATACCGGTGATGCGGCCATTGGAGTTGCATGAGATGCCGAACCAACGGCAAGGGGATGGATCGGACTCGTTCCATCCGGCGTACTGGCCGGGGTTTATGCGGTTATTTACGAGGAGGAAATTCTTAAGATCGAGTATAACTTCTTTTTCAGGCGGCGGCGGCGGCGGCTTCAGCGGCGGTAGGTTGGATGCTGTGGCGGCGGTGATGATAAAGGAGATAGAAGAATAAGGATTAGGTGAGAATACAAAGAAAAATAGCAGAAAGAATGGGAAAGGTTGGATATTTTCCGACATCTCCCAGAGAAGGCGACCATAGGGGAAAGCGAAGCTGTTTTCCGGCCAAAGCTGAGCACATTTCTTCAGGCGCGTTTGGTTCGGCGTAATTCCACAGTTTTCCGGTTTGAAACAGCAAATTCAGTTGACGGAATTTGTTTGGAAGCAAGGCATTTGTAAATATATTTTTTCTGAAACTTCATTGTTTTTATCGGCCAAAAAAAACTTTTGGCCTCTTAGGGCATCTCCAGCCGAAACTCTCATTTTTTACTGTAAAATACAGTAAAATCAAAAAGTGCCGTGATTCATCTCCAGTGAAACGTCATTTTGCCCCCAAATCATCGTTCGTTTCTTTCGCGTCTTTCTCGGACGAGTTCGGTAGAGAGAAAGAAATGGCGCAAGTGAACAGTGCGACGTCAATTCAACTGCGATCAAATAGCGGAAGAAATGACATTCGGTTGCGACGTTTGAGGGCCTCCATTCGGTTGTTTGCCGAACGGTTGGAGATGATCTTACTTGTCTGATTCTATTGCTTTTTTCCTATGAAACGGTGAAATAGAAAAAAAAAAAAAAAAACTTCTTTTGTTTCATAATACTGCTACATAGTGTCATAAAAAATATTTAACTTAAATTTTATTTCGTGACATTCTTATATATATTAGAGATGATCCGAGCTATATGTTTTAAGGATTGTATTTGGGCTAGTGAACTCATGTAGACGCTCATATTTTTTATGAAGATCAAATTTTGTATATAAGGCGACATCATTCACCTATATAAAATGTGATGAGAGTCTAAAATTTTAATATGTGCTTTACATTTGTGACAATATGATGTGAGAGTTTAGCTCTTGATGTCCATATCTTTCAATATGTTGTAAGGAGTCCAACATACAATTTTCCTACACCGTCATTAGATATTTCTTAATTAATAAGTATGAATTTAGAAGGATATTTTATGTTAAAGTTGATGAGGATGTTAACATATCTTTTAATAGGTAAATTTTATTTAGTTGATGTTAGATAACGAGTTCAACGAGGTTTTTTTAAGTCATAACTATAGTCTCAATATCATATACCAGATTTTCGAAGAGTAAGTCAACCTAGTATGGGGCATCGAGAGGTATTTAATAAGCGACATTCCTCATTAAGAAATGTAATAGAACGAGCATTTGGTGTATGGAAAAAGAAATGAAAAATTCTACAAGATATGTCAAACTATTATTTCAAAAATTAGCGGTTTATTGTAGTGGCTACAATGACAATACATAATTACATAAGAAAACATCAATGAAAATTGAGGAATGCTACAATGACTTTTTTTTTTTTTCTACTACAATGACAATATATAACTACATAACAAGACATCAATGAAAATTGAGGAATATGAGGAATGTGATGCCGATGGAAATTTTGTTCATCGGAGGCAGAGGATTTCCGAGTTGGAGAGGAAGTTGAACTCTTAGGAAGTACGAATTATTTTGTAGTGTTGCTTGATGGCGAAGGAGCGAACGATATGACTGAAGTTATAGTATTGTAATGCAATTATACACATGTAATAGGTAATACGTTTAACTTAAAATTTTTTTATATTTAAATATAGTATAAATAATTATTACCAAAATTAATTGAAATATAATAGTAAATTGTTGATGATATACAGGGGCGGAACCAACCTTAGTTTTCAGGGGGGGGCAAATTTATAAGTAAAAATGTAGAATTTTTTTTTTCAAACTCATAATAAAAAATTCATTTGATTCCATGGTTAACCTTAAATGACAATGTTTGACTAATGGATCCTTTAAACAATATATATCAAACTCATAATAAAAAAATTCATTTGATTCCATGGTTAACCTTAAATGACAATAATTATCATTATATCATTTTAGTGACTAATGATTATTTGTACTTGAATACATTTTAAAAATATCATCAACATCTTATATAATGATAATTATTCTTAAACAAAAATTAGGTAACACCTCTACACAATGTGTCGGGGGTGCCCCTGACGGGTTTCGAC